AAAAATGTGCCTGAAATTTAAGAAAACTTTTCCCCTCTTGTTATTTTCATGAAAAGGGAAAAAACATTCCCCAGTTTCACTAGCTTATTTACTTATTAAACACATTAATATTAAAAATTAATATTAATTAAAATAAAAAATAGAAACACATTAAAATAAAAAAAAATCAAATATAAAATTTGTGGCAGACTGGAACTTCTAAATGTAAAATCAGCACAAACAAAACTAGTTCTAAAGATGTTGAATAAGTGTTTTGTAACAGTAGCTATATCCAGACACTACGTTTTCAGGAAACCATGGAACATTTTCCACCAATAACACTTATATAAAAAAAAAAAAAAAAAAGAAAAAAAAAAAAAAAAAAAAAAAAAAAAAGGAATACATTATTCTATTTTTTCTGGATTTCACATAGATTACCTGTTTTCCAGTATAAACAAAGGCAACAGAATTTAAAGCTATCCTATTTACAACTATCCCAAAAGGAAAGCTTAAGTGTTTGCAGGATTTACTTCCCTACAGGAACAACAATTTTGGAGTATGTGCCTGGGTAGCTCTGTAACTGTAGCACCCTCTGCTGCTCTTTTAGTTCTAAAACATATAACTCTATACTCAACCAAGTAGAAAATAAAATGAATATGTGTTGAACACGTTGTTCCTTGAACATGGTTATATTATTAACTAATCCTACCTGCAGTCTACAAGAAAATGTTTTGCTATTACATATAACGTATTTGCAATTTTATACTACTTGAGCATTCTGGAATATCTTGTTTCTATGTTAACAGCAGGTAGATACTAGATGAAAGTCCCAAAACATGCTGTATTTCATTTCTTAAAATTCTCCTTTACATACTCTGTAGCTTGCCTAGGCTGGTGGCAATTAGTGAAGAGGCTTATATTTTGGACCTTGATCATTTCACTTAATTTAAAATTATTACTTCAGGAACATAGTCATACAAGCACTTCAGTCATAACTGCCTTCTCCCACTTGAAAAGGCAAGGGAAGGTGATAATCTCAAAAGCTCATCCTTGTAGAATTTTCCTTAATTTTTGGACAGTTTCTTTCTGCAAGAATGAGCGTGGCATGTGGCTCCTGGGGCCAACTTGTGCTATCCCACAAAACTACCACTGAACCTTCTGCCTGCGATCCATCAGTTCTTTTAAAGGACTATCTTAGGACTAGAGATGGTGTCAGGATGAACCATCTTTTTAACAGATGGCATATTGTTGTCGAAAATCAACAGACTAATCCTTTCCTTCATTCCAGTCCTCTTTTCCCTGCCTCCTGTTTTTGCATAGAATTAAAGCTGAATGAAGTGCATTTAGCATTGCATCCTGTCTGTGTGGAGAATCCATTTAGAGTTGTCATGTGGAAACCACTCTCTCACAAACAGGAGAGGAACAGGAGAGGAAAGAAATTTCACATTTTTCTGGGACAGTGAAAACTAACTGCAAATCATAGTGTGGATTTTCATTTACAGAAGCAATCCTACAATGAAAATGCAAAATCTTTTCGAAAAGGACAGAATACAAGTGTGGGTACCAAGTTTGAACAAGACACTGTACAGAGGCAATTTTCAGAGTTAACACTTGGGACCCTGCAATACACCATTTACAGCTACTGCAGCTGGCTCCACTTTTGTTCTGAAGTCTTACTGGGATAAGGCAGTGCCTTTGGAAGCAGTCATGAGTATTCCTCAAAAGCTGCTTATTGATATTTTATATAATGCTGCCAGCTAGTGGCACATCTTGTACTGAGTAGATACCTACTGGGAGTTTAGAGAAAAGTGGTATTAACTAGATTTGCTCTACCACTTTTCTTTTGATGGTGTATGGTGATGTGGATGTTAAAGACAATACGAAGAGAGATCAAAATGTGAAACAGAAAGACCATAGAAATGCTCCATGAAAGAGCTTGTTTGAACAGAAAATACTTACTAGAAGAAACAAAAAAACTCCCCCCAAAACCACACAAACCATGTTGTTTGAAGAAAATTATGTTTAAAAAGGATGTAATACGCAATGTGTTTCAGTTTTTACAACACCTAATCTTTTTAATACACAATTCTTTCATAATCTAATATTCATTAGCAAAACATTAATCTTGCTGATAAATTTGCTGTATTGCAGCCAAAACAAACACATAGAAAACTAAAATATTTACCTCTTTTCTGACAACTCAGTCCAAATAGTTTAAGTGAAGTTTAGTGCACAGCACTGGCTAGGCAGTGTCCCAAAAGAACACTGAAGTCTGTAATTTTTCAATGTGTCCCCTCGCAGAGCACGCTGTGGTGATAGTATGTTCAGTACTGGGTAGCTCTGTTAGTATTAGGTATTAGAAGAAATAATCTGATACTGTTAAAGACCAGTTTAGAAATATTTGGAGCTTTTTAAGAGTAGGTTATGATTTGATAATACAAAGTTCTTACAGAACACTACAGCAATTGTAAAAAACATTCAACCTACTTTTAGAAATAAAACAGTAGTTACCTTAGGGGGGAAAGGAGGCGACCCCCCCTGTCATTTCCACAGTGGGTTAACACAAAGAGAGTCAAAAAATACACAGGAAAAGGTCAAAGAAAGAGACAATTCAAATCAAGTGATAATGGGAGTGCACAAAAATTCAGTCAGGTATGAGCCAAATAGAGTAGCTCAGTAAACACATGGCTGGGGAAACTTTACTATGGTGGTGTGACAGACGCATAGTTACTCTGGCTTGGACACTGAGAACATTTATTCCATACAGGTGGTTGCAAAAAAGTATGATTATTACTCTCCAAGCTAATACTGCATGCTGCCAGAAGATAACAATTATACCATTACCCTTACAGAGTGTAATCTAGAGTGCATAGCAAAATAGGCATAAATCATCAATACAGACATTTAAAAATGGGGAGCAGTGAATCTGGAAATGACTTAGCAAACACTGTATACACTGGCAGAGCATGAACCCTCAAAGAAATACTGAATCCAAAAGGACAAATGTGAATCTTTGTATATACAAACAACCAGTAAGAAGAAGTACAAATGTCATATTACGCCTCTGTTAGCACCGGTGGTGTGCCTATTAGAGTGTAAGTCTTGTTCTACCATCTGCAATCAATAAGAAAGTAGCTGAAAAACTGGAAGAAGTTAACAAAAGAGCTGACAACACACCTATCAATAGGAAAGCATATGAAAACTTTAGTGGAGTAAATTATTTGTGTTAACAGGGAAATTTGTGTAGAGTGAGCACAATCTAAGCACTCACACAAAGAACAAAGATTAAGAGATCACGCTAACAGAGTAAAGGTACACTGTCCTGATTCACTGTGTGAAGCACTTCTAAACACACACACAAAATATTTTCTCTGCTATTCAAAATAAATACCCAAGTTGTGATCTAATTAACTAATATAACAACATTTTTTCTGGATCCAAAGCCCTAGTTTTTTTCCTTAATTATTTTGCTTATTGAGAACAGTTTATGAAAATAACATAGCTTCTTATAGAATTCTCTCTTACAGATCCTCTCCTGAGAATCCACAACATTAAATCTCTCTAAATGCCTCCCATAATTTAAGCAAAGCATTTTTCTTCCAGATCGTAAGATGTTTTTATCATCCAGCTCATTATGCCTACACCTGTAGCCAAAGTCAACCATAATCACAAATGTGAATTTTCTTTCTTAGCCTTAATATTATTAGTTTGAATATTCATATAACCCTTAGATATAATTTTCATTCAGAAATTAGAGAACAAATTTCTCTTTGGTAACAGATACAGAATATATCTGAAGTATTTTGTGGCAAGACCACTGAATTATCTTCAATGTTCGGAACTGAATGAAGGCTAACAAATTTTAAAAAGAAAAGCATATAGTTTATGACTATTTTTTTCTTTTGAAGGCAAAAGTTCATTAAATGAATTGACCTTTTTGCAAATGAAAAGCCAGTATTTATTGAAACATAGCTTTGGTACACTGAGACTGCAGTTTTGAGATGAAACATGTATATATCAGAACAGTTTCTGTATCTTTGCTCTGATAAGGAGAAACATATGTGCACATTTCTTGAGTATCTGACAAACTTTACCAACTTTATTCTATCAGTTTGTTTGAAAACAAATCAATCTGAAAGATAAAGCAGAATAATCAAATAAGAATGATATGTATATAATTCTATAATAGTAATTACTCATCACATCAAAAGTATTTCAATATTATTGCTCAGCTTAATTTCCACAGTCTACCACAATTTTATAATTCAAGTCCATTAACAGCACAGATAATTTTTTTAATAAGTATACTGAAGCAGAGCCATAGTGGGTCAGACACTGATGGCCCACTTACAGCTCATCTTGTCTCAGGTTAATGCAGCCAGTAACTGATGCTTAGACAAGAGTGAAAGATCAGGACAAACATATCATCCTACTGCCCCATTAATTCTCCTAAGACCCAGCATTTCCTAAGCCATAAGTGATGTCTTCAATGGCCACAGTTAATTTTTTTTGCACAATTTTTTTCCCCTTTGCTTTTTTGAACTCATTTCATGTTTTAGGAACCCCACCATTCTGTGGAGAGCAATTTCACAACTTGAATGTGCGTCTTCTTTTGTGTTTCTGTGATTTGAGTTTGTCCACTCCAAGCTGGAAGTGCCATTGTTTGCTTCCCATGGTCTTGCACTGTTGTTCCCCACATAGCCACTGCTGGCCACTGGCCAACACAAATCAATGGGCTAAACTAATTTTTTTGTCCAACCCAGTTCAGCTGCTCTAATGTTCCCACCACAGTCACAGAACCAAAAATAACCTGCACTGGGATGACTTGAGGGTGTATCCACACAAACAACTGTGCAATGTAAAACTGTAACACATAAAAAAGGTTATGGTACCTCTGACCACAATTATGGAGTTTCTCAGCTAAAAGAAATGGTTATTGAGGGCTCATACAGAAATATTTTACACTGATGCATTTAGATGTCTATCAACATAATACTGTAGCTAAATAGACAGTGACTTACAGACATTCCCTGTATTGTCAAAACTTGTAAGAACATCTTTAACATTTAAGAGACCATTGTGAAATCTGGAAGGAAACATAAAAGAAAACATAAATTGTGATTTTACCAAGATGTAAACAATTAAAAAAAACAAACAAACATCTTGTCTCTTCACTCCCTTCTCATCAACCTGATCACAGTGAACTAACAAACAGGTACTACTGTAGCCACCAGGGGGAAAACAAGGGGACAAACACTAGTTTTCAAAGTCCCATCACTGAAAATCCATGAATCGGGAATGTGTTTCTCGGAAACTAATATCAAGAGGAAAACATTTCTACGGAGCATCAAATTTTGTTTTGTTCTGGAAGTCACATATAGGAAATAAAGAATTTTGGTAAAGCTTTATCAGTAGCTTTATTTCTTTGAGGAGGAAAACCAAAGGTCTATTTTTAAACAGCAGCTGTACACACATTCTTATTTTCTCCCACAAAATCAAGAACACTTAATTAAATTAATGTGAACAATGAAATTGATTAATGTGTTCAGTGAACTAACTGCATTTTCTTTGGTTTTACATTTGCATAACCCAAGTGAAATAAACATTCAAAACTGGGGATAATAAATTCATTAACTAAATTTCACACATCAACTGCAGATTTTAGAATACAGTGAGCAAAGCACTGACAGCAGGAGAAAGAATATACATAAAATTGAAATAAAAATTCAAATGTTATAGATGTCAGGCCAGATGAATTCACATTCACACACACACAAAGCATCTAAATTCCTTTCACCTGCTGCAAGCTAATCTAGGCCCAAAATAAAAAATATTAAAATCTTTTACTTCACAACAATCAGATTATATAGTTGTTTCACAAAGGCATTTAAAAATCTAAAAAGAATTCAGCAAGGCAGGAAAATACAAAAACACAGGTTTTTAACAGCACTTCAAATATAGCTTCTAAGGCTGTTAAGGAACATGCTAATTTGATATACCAAAAAAAATTAATAAATCCAACAATTCTAGCACCTACAAAATTAGTTCTCATTCTCTCGTTTTGTTTCCTGAAGGAAATTTGTTGTAAGAATGGAAAAAAACCCAAAAACAAAACAAACAAACAAAAACAAACAAATAAAACCCCCACAACAATCTTTTTGCAAATAAGAAATTGTATATTTATTTTAAAATTCAATATTTATAGCTTCTGATAAGCATAAACATTAAATAAACATTAACAGGTTAAATTTTGAGAAGCACCAAACAGCAACTAGATTAATTCTTAAAAAAATGAAAATCAAACGGAAATCAAGTTAACAAACTGAAATGAGCTCATAAACAGGGGCAACAAAATATATGAAAGATGTTACAGAAGATTCAACTGGATATTAATGCTCTTCTCCCAGCTACATAAAAACAAACCAAAAACACATTTCCTCAGTGCAGTGGAAGCCTACAAGAATTCTGATGGTTCATGAGGATTTTAAATGCACTTTTTCTTCCTCTTTTTTGCAAGTTTGTTTTCAATCAAATTGGACAATGATGCACCATGGCTAGTTCAAGGGAAGTGATAAGAAAGCAGACAGGATCTGTAGTTCTACCAACCACAGACGTTGCCCTTTAAATTGTCCCCTGCTGAATCCTAAGCATCCTACAAACTCTGTAACTGTGCAAATGTCTGAGGCACTTAGGGTCTCTCAGACAGCTGTGAATGTCTCATCTCTAAATGAATGTAAGATGGGGGAAAGAACATGATGACAAAGAGAAGAAATATTTTAATCTTTGTTGGCATGTCTTGGGATAGCATGCTTTGGTTTTGGCTTTTTCCCCCTCAATTTCTTTATGTACAGAGTTCATATATAAAGGAGATTTATCATGTAACTCTCCAAGTGAAGCAAACAAAGGTAAGGATAAAATATTTAGTAATCCAGTATCAGGAGTTCAAGAGAAGGCTAGAAAGAAATTAAAACAGAAGTAAGTGAATTGTCGTGATCTAGAAAAGCATACAATTTGCATGCTTCAGGGTCAAAGGGTAGACAAACACAAAAAGGAGAAATGATAAAACCATACTTTGCAGGTCTAAGTACAAACACGACACACTCCAACCTTTGCTCTCTTGGCCTCTAGAGGCACTTTGCACCGACAGCCTTCCCTGGCTCCCTGCAATATTCAAAGTCTCTAACTCTGTCTCAGCAACAACCTTCTTGCTTTCACAAATATAATTCATGATAGTCACAGAAGTGAGGCATAATTTAATAGCAAGAAGCATCCAGATTTGCTATCGGGCACATCCTCTTCTCCTCAGTCTTCCAAAAGCCCACTCCACAGTCATTATGAAATGGGACAGGGTTTGAATTCAACAACTATGTCCTTTAGTCTGATCAGCTTATGAAACCTTCACTGAACAAAAGAAGGAGCAAGCCTGATCTCCTAGAATGAGAGGAATAGCCACTATCCCAACAGCGAGGATAGCAAATCCACTCTCATTTACTCCAAAGCTCACATCTCAGGTCCAAACTATATTATCTTTATGGATGATGTTAGAACTACTCCACATGAACATCATCAACAGTGAGTCTTCTGGAGTCAATTAGCACGATAGGAAAATATCTCTTTGTATTGGGTCTGGCTGAGACGGAGTTCACTTCCCCACAGCAGTGCTTCCTCACATTGCTATGCTTTGCATTGGTAGCTGCAAAGGTGTTGATAACACACCAGTGTTTTGGCTACTGCTGAGCACAGCACCAACACTGTAACATTCCTTCCCCAACTGAGGGCAGGATTCTGGGAGGGCACAAAACCAGGCCAGCTGACCCAAATTAACCAAAGGGTTATTCTGTACCACATGACATCAGCTCAGATATAAAAGATAAGGAAAGGAGCAGGAAGAGGAGGCACTCATTATTTACATTTGCCTGCTGAGCAACTGCTATGCATGCTGAAGCCCTGCTTCCAGGGAAGTGGCTGGACATCGCTTACTAATGGGAAGTGGCAAATAAACCTTGTTATTCTCCTCTTCACTTTGCGCAAACTTTCTCTTTTCCTTCAGTAAACTGCCTTATCTCAACCTACAAGTCATTTTCCATCTTATTTGTCTCCCCTGTCCATCTGGGAAGGAGAATGATAGAGTGGTGGCTTGGTGGGCACACAGTGTCCAGTCAAGGTCAACACACCACACTCTTCCTGCTGATAAAGCTTTAGTCTATTCCAGGCTAAAGAAGAGGCATGTAAATCCACCGGTAACCACTTAACAGTTATGGAACCCAAACCATGATGAATTGATCATGAGGTCTGTTGCAAATAAGTTTTAGGACTACAGGAAGAAACATGCCAACAGCTGATCTACTTGTGAAAGGAAGAGCTCACAGAAACACACTTCCAAACAGCAATAGCCACATGTTTCTCCATTTGGAGGTCTGTATTTGTAAAGCCTCCAGACAAACTCTGCACCAGCTATTCCTCAATTCTTTTCCATCCCAGACCTTACCTGCAGACTAAAAGTTACTGGCACCTGTAAACACAGGTATTCTCTAACTCCAAATTCTGCCATAAGTATCATATTACTAATCCTGCACCTATAAACCACAGCTTCTAGTTTGGAATCCACTGTTCTGAACACCTTCTCAGCAGTTCTGTAACAGCTGCTGCTCCGCTGTCCGATCCCATCAGCTGCTCCTCCATTAGCAAGCCCAGAGAAAACTGCTGGGATATGACAGATCTCATTTCTGTGGCTGCCTGTCATAATCACAGCTTTCCACAGTACCGCTAACAAACTGCCCACAGAGAGTCTGTAAGTGGAATGTGCACTGAATTATGGAAGTCAAGGAAAGGAACCACAGAAGCTTGTGGTTAAACCCCAAACCCAAATTCCCATAAATTTCCACAGGCATTTCAAAATACAAAGGAATATTAGTACTCAGTGTTTCAGAATATGTGATGGATGTTGTACAGTTCAAAGAAGTTCAAAGCTGTGATTGCTGAGATCAACAAAGTGCTTCAAACAAGCACAGGTAAGCATCATGGAGAAAGTGAACTTCAGGACAGCATGGTTAATCTGATTCACAGTGTTCTTATAAATCTTCAAGGTACAATGGGCAAAAAATTCTGAGTTATAGAAGACAAATCTAGGAACGAGAAACTAATTCAACTCATGTTTCTCCTGATTCAAAACAAAGCAAAATTCCTTAATCTAGACTACATATAAATCCACTTTGGATGTATAAATAAAATCGGAGAAAGATAGAGTGAGTTCAGTCTTTGAAATACATTAATGTTCCCTGTCCAATTCAGGCAACACAAGTGGTAGACTTTAACATCTATTTAAGAATAGCCACAGACAGTAGAATAAAAAGAGCCTTCAATAGCTCCCTATTAAGGTATGGTTTTCATCAACCATTATGAAACAAAACTAAGTTTGTCCTTTTATATTATTCTTAACTGAGTAAGCAAAAATAATACAAGTAACTACATGCCTATACAAAACCTTAAAAACCTACAAAAACTAAGACAGAATACATTTCCTCATAATATGGGAAAGAAAAAAAACCAAACCAAACCCACAACACATCACCATACACTATTAACCTACACAGAAACTAAAAGTACAATTTTGGTGACAAATGAAAGACAGGATAAAGGTAAAAAAGTTACTATTAAGAGTACTTTACAAAAAGACTTGGTGAGTATCACCATCAAATGTCACAGTGGCCCACTAAGAACCTCAAATCTATCTACAAACTTTACTATCTGATCAGATGCTTTTCCTGGGCCAGAGCACAGCAGAATAAGTCAATTCCTCTTTCAGTCCAGTTCTAGACTGCAGCTTAATACAGTAAGAAACCAAAACAATGCTTCTTTGACTACAAATTCTTGTTACAAATACACGTCTTGGGCAATATGATGGAACAGCCATAGCTTGATCAGTGAATGAATGAAATATGTTGGCAAATCACTTTTTCTTTCCTCAATTTCCCACTCCTGTGGCCAAGCCTTTGTGCTGCTAAACCCACACATTGACTCTTAGCATCCAATAAGTGGAAGAGAGCAATTTTATCACATCCACACAAACTGTCCATAAGAAGTAGG